ATGTGCGGAGGATCGCTTTGGTTGCTGTTACGTGGGATGAAAAGGGCGCGGAGGCCTTGGCAATCGCAAGCGCTGCTGCTGCTGCCAAGTTTTTTAAGGAGCCAGGGATGGCATGTAGGAAAGCTGTTTCACTCGGTGGTGTTTGTGTTTTAATTCCAGCCTCGGGAAGAGGAGCCTAATGATTGTGCACGAGCACAAAGTGCCTATTACTGTGGTGCCAGACTGTCCTGTCTGTGCTTTTTTTTCTTCAGAGAGCACAAAATCCCCATTTTCACTTGAACATCCCCCCCAGGAGCACTGGGTGGACCAGAAGCAGGTTTGCGCACTGTGCGCAGCCGGTATAGCCGCTGGATCAGGGATCCAGAGTGCCTTTCCAGGATCCATCCCAAACACGGATCCAACGAGTCACTGCCTCTGGCAGCATCCGTTTTCATGCTGGGGGGGGTTAAACATCCCCTCCCGCATCAGCCGGGAAATTGGAGAGCTGGGGGTCACCTTTTTGGGATGATGCTGAAAGGCATCTTCCCATGGGAAGAGCTGGTCCAAGGGGGAGCTGTGTGAAGTCTGCCATGCTGCCTTCTCCTGGGGTCCCTTGGGGAGTTTGCCCCAAAGGAGAGCTGGGGCAGGGGGACTTCGGCGGGGCGGCTGGGCTGAGACTGCCTGGATGTTTCTGCAGGCTGGTTTTCCTGGCAGGAGACAGGAGCAGAGGGAGTGGGTGCAGAGCTGGCACGGTGGTTTTCCAACGTGACTGCACGGGGGTGGCGGGAGCTGGGCTGGATTTGGGATGTCAGCGCATGCGGAGGCTGCGGAGGAACCGGGAGAGCAGCCGGCAGCTCGCTGGGAGTGGGAAGGGCTCCCTGGGAAACAGGCACTGCTGCACCCAGGTTATCGTGATACTCGTACCCAGCAGAGCTTGGGGGGCTGGATTTTGGCTGTTTGCAAGCACCATGAGCCCTTCAGGTCACTGGGTTCTGCATCCTGTGGAACGGTTCCCCCAGGAAGGCCAGCTCCGGTCGTTTGGCAGCTGGGAAGCTAGGTT